CGACCCGGGTCAATGCCCTGGGTCGGATTCGTTGACCCGGGTTGGATCCGACTGACCCAGATCCAAAAATTTTTTTTTTTAAAAAAATTAATTTTTTTTTTCATTTTCCCTTTCCGTATTTATTTTATTTTTTTTTAAAAAATTAGAATTATTTTTTTCTCTCTTCTAAATTATGTGGTATATCTAATATTTTAATTTGTTGCTGTATTATTATGCATGTTGTTATAATTGCATAAATTACCATGTTTAATTTAAATAAGCCTATAGTGTTGTGCAGTAGTATTTTGCATGTTGTGTTATTATTATGCATGTTTTTAATTAAAACACAATTGCATGAATTGTTGTGTTTTGAATGTCATTTGACTTAGTTAGGATTAGAACCTAAGGCTGCATATCTATCATGACTGCTGATCGTTTATGATTATGCACTCGCTTGATCACCTCACATGTTAGGAGAAAGGTCCTAAAATCAATCCAAATTGCCTGACAAATATTTTCAAAAAAATAAACAGGGTAAAAAGGTACCGAAAGGGCATTAGTTATCCAACTAGTGTAACCAAGTCCCCGAACTCAGTTAATCTCTGGTCCGTAGGAATAGGGTGATTCTCCCATCACCTTATTTGGGTTTCTAATCGACCCACCCCAAATCGATTAGTGGCGACTCCTTGATATAAACCATTTGCATGTTAAGTACTTAAACCCTAAGTCGCGATATGGTATGGGCTTGGGAGAGCCAGAGTTAAGTCCCGAACCTAGACTTAGCGCGTGCCAGGCGAGCCCCCCCTTTTTTGCATGATAAAAAAAAAGCGGGGAGGTCGGTCGCGACACCCACAGAAAGAGGAAATTGTGTAATTTCTGCTTTACTTTTTGGCCAACCATAACAAGCTGGGATACAATGCAAAATGCGTGCTTGTCCTTCATGCTTTTTGTCTTTCTTTTCTGTAAGTAAGTCAACTGTATTAGCTCAAAAGGGAGAGAGTGGGGTGATTAGGCCCACTACAATCCCAACAGCATCGATAAAGACAACAATCAGAGACAATCATGCAATCACCACTAAGATCCATCAAGGAATGCCCATTTGCCCACCTCGCACAAATTTGCCAATTATCAAACCCCAAGGAGATACATTGGCCAGTCCCAATCAAAGTTTTCTTTAAGTTAGTTTTCCTCCAAAAGTAAGTACTGTTAATTTTAGGCCTATCAACCGTATTGAATGCTGCTCTCAAGCCATGCCATGCAGGGATCATGAAACGCTTATTGCACATCGCAATGCACAAAGAGCAGGCACACGGTAGTCATTAGATCACACGCATATGGAGATGCTCTGAATAGTTGCTTCAACACTTTTGCATGTGTAAATGGTACATCAAGTCCTATAAATTCGACTCTCTCTTGCTCATTGTGTTTTCTTCGAAACTCTCTTTCCCATTTATTGGCCTCTTTTCAACTAACCACCTATCTGACCTTGTGGCCGACACCAATGGAATTGCTCTTGGTGTCGATGAAGACAATGTTGCTGTCGTGGAGTAGTTCACGACGGCTGGTATATTAAGGATCCAATATAGAGATCATTACGATTCATCGTGAAGTGAGCCATTACAAAGAGTGCAAGTATCGTTGCTTCAACAAACCCTTGGAGCAACGATACTTGCACTCTTTGTAGTGATAGAGAACCCTGGATCGAAGCCTACATGTATTGCACTAGCTGTTGGCATCATAAAATCCTCCATGGATAGCAACATCGCTTTCATTGACGCCAACAACACTTTCATTAATGCTGCCCATATGGAGGGTCCTAGCTTTTTCGTGAACAATCAATGGAAGGCATAGAGATTTTATAAACTCTTCCTAATCAGAGTAGCATAAATCTATCATTAAGTCAAATTCCTTGCTTAAGGAAGAGTCTTATAAGTTAATAAAGCTGGAATACATCAAAGACGTGGTTTCCTTTCTCAAGTAATCGTTTAAATTAGGAGTAAACATGGTTAAGGTTGGCCTTGTCCAACACCTAACCCACGTACCAACTTGCACCGTGTTGGTCCCCAATTTTTGGGACTAGAGACTGACCCTATTGAGCTTGGGACCGAGAACTAGACTGACCCTGTGGGTCTGGTTTGGTTACAAGCTCAACTCTAGAACATCCCATTCTTTTTATTTTTTATTTTTTTGTATTCCTTGAAATGAGAAACTTACTCTTTTAAATTCCATATTCATCTACAATAACACTAGTACAAATCAAACAGAAATCTAAGATAAGGCAATAACAAAAATCTCCACTTGCCAAAAACAACAAATCACATAAGACGAACATGTGAAATAAAATTAAACAATAAAAAGTTCAAAATATGTAATATAAACCATGAATTATACAACTTCATATCTTGTTCATTTTTGAAATATCGCTCTAAATTATGAACACTTGAAAATAAAACAAATAGCAAACATAGTTAATACTTAACAATAGTTTTGGGTTGAAATTACTATTAGTGTGATTCATAGAACATCTCATCACTTATATTCGTCTGTGTGAGTTGAATAAAGAACCCATAATGCTATACGATTAGATCCACAAATTTTTCATCTCTGCTTTGAGCATGAGAAGGGATATTTTGATATTACAGATTATAACCTGAACCATAGTTACAAGCCCCGTTTTGTTATTGTTATTTCAAATGTTAAGATCTCTGTTCAAGTTTATTCATGTTGAAGCATCAAACATTAACAAAAAGAAATTGTTACTGTGATTGTCGACCGAGATGCAAAATGAATGGAGGTACTTACCTTTGAAATTGTTACTGTGAAATTGAGGGAGAGAGTGAGAGTGAGACTTGAAGAGAGGGAGAGGAAAAGGGCAAAAGAATAGATAGGGCTGAACAATTTAGGTTATATTCCTAAAGTTTGGAAAAAAAAAATTACAGGATTGGTCCGGGTTGGACCAATCCTAAAGCCTCAAGACCAAGGACCAACTCGCACAATACGGGCTCTCGTGGCCCCAAGACTAGGGATCGGCTAGTCCCCCTAGGAACCAAACCAGGATCGGTTGGGTTGGGCTGATCCAAGGCCGGTCCAGGGATTCCTAGACTGATGCCCACCCCAGGTCCAAATAGAGTCATAAAATCTAATTGGGATAACAGATAAAAGCTTGTTTCGACGTGATATTTTCTAACACCCATTTGTCCTCCCATTCTTAGTTCACCCATTTCGGATAACTTAAAAATAAAGAAAAAATCCTATAAATATACCTTGAATTAATTGAAAATGTACTCAAGAATCTCCTACTCGATTGATTGGTGTTTGACGAGAAACAATGTAAACGATTCACAGGTGTGAGTGAATTCGGCCACATAATTTGGTCGTTTGATCCAAATGTTGAGAAACTCTTATTCATGTAACACTTAAAAAGAATTGATATCATGTGTCTAAGTTATTTATTCCCCTTCCTACACGCCTATATAGAGCATAATTTGAACTTTGCTCTGTGTTACCTCAAACTATTCTAGTCATATTACAAATGATTTTTCTTGTACATACATTTGTTAAGCCACTTCCAATCATTTCAATGGATGATGACCATGACTTAAAACTGGATAGTATAAGATAAGATAATATAACTCCCAGTCGATTCCATAAAATCTTTACATATTTCAAACTAGGTGCGCCAATTGGCACATTGCACTGAACAAAATTATCAAATGAATTTCTTAATAAATCGAAGTAAGATTGGTAGTTACATCATGATTACAAATGTATATATTGTTTTATAAGTTAGCACTAAAAAAATCCAATCACTAAAGAATGGCACGAGATCGGGCTTTGCAATTGGATCGCCTACTTTCCATGGGCCGTTGCCTCTTTTTCTTGCTCTGTCCCTTCTCGTTCCATAAGTGATAGGTCAAATTGGAAACGTGTTGAAAAAGTCTTCAATCTTTTGTATTTGTGCCAATTTAGTTCTAAACCTTTTTTTGGTATTAATTCAGTTCTAAACCTTTTTATCTTTGTACCAATTCAGTCCTTCCAGCTAATTTTGATAGGATTTTGCTAACGTGGTTACCAGCTGGCTTACGTGGCACTGCTGGCGATGACGTGGACAACTTTTAATAATATTTTAATATTTTTTTCAAAATTTTTAAATATTTTTTTCTTTTCCTTTCTTCTTCCTCCAGCGAGCGACGACCGGCTAGAGGCCAGGGCTGACGAACCCCGTTGGCCGTTGGCGAGGCTCACCCTCGCCAATGATGGCAATGGCGACGGCGACGGCAAGCCTCGCCCAGCCACTGGCAAAGGCTCGAGCCCACGCTAGCGGCTGGGCGACGTACAACCTCACCGGATCTGGCGAGGGTCAAGCCTCGCTAGCCATGGGCGAGGCTTGACCTCGCTAGATTCGGTGAGGTCGTGCCTTGTCCAGCCGCTAGCAGAGGCTGCGAGGTTGAAGGCCGCGACCTCGCCAGTGGCCGGCAGGGCTCGCTAGCCCTGGTCTCCAGTCGGTCGCCGAACCGGCAACCGACTGGAGGAAGAAGAAAGGAAAAGAAAAAAAAGAAAAGCAAAAAGAAAAATTATTAAAAAAATTCGAAAAATATTAAAATATTATTAAAAATTGTCTAAGTCATCGTCGGCGGTGCCACGTAAGCCGACCGGCGTCTACGTAAAAAAAATCCGGTTAAAATTAGCCGGAAGAACTGAATTGACATAAAGATAAAAATGGTTAGAACTAAATTGGCACAAATGTAATAGGTTTAGGACTTTTCTGACACTTTTTCCTAGGTCAAATATATTTTTCTAAAGATCTATATCGTCAATATCTTGAGTGAAATGGTCAAAATATCCTATAGAAAGTACCATGGAGAATCTTACTACGAATTATATATGTAAAGAATTCTAATTAGGGAACAGAATAAAAAAGAATATGAAGATGAGAAGACTCGAGAAAAGTAAAAAGGTACAATGGGTACACGTTAAGTAATTAGTACTTTGTTCATCTCAATCGATTCTTAAAAGCTATGATGGGTATTTGTTTGGTACTTGGGTAAGCCCAAGCGAGCGGCCAGCAAGAATTCCGGTTGAACGGCCTCGACCCGAGCGGCGTGGGCTTCGAGCTCGAGGCGGCGAGGTTTTGGCGGGCGAGGGTAGAGGCGCAATGAGCAGCAAGAGAGACGGGGAGGGAGATGCGAGAAGCTGACGAGGGATAGAGAAGGGCAAAATTACACTAGAATTCTTCATCTTCATTTGAATAAAATTACTAAAATTCGACATGGCAATCGTGAATCAACCTCGAAGGGCAAACTTGTAGGTAGAGCATTGACCGATTGGAAACTTTTGATCGCACCATAACCCGTCTCCTCTCTTATTGACATAACCCGGATAGTCCGACTCCGAGAACTCTGCTTTCTCGACCAAACACAGCTCTTCGTCTTCCTCGGCAAGCTTCTCGATCTCCCACTTGCTGAACGGATAGGCCGTCTTGTGCGTCACGTGAATCTCGCCATGTTTGGCCAGCATCGACCTCGCGCTCTTCAAGAACCCTCTCACCAATTCTTGGTGTCGCCTGAAGAAAAATCCCACAGCTACATCATCCATTGCAGTGTCTCTTGGACCAATTAAGGTAAGTTTGTTTGCGTATGTTGTGTCAAGATATGTTATGGGAAGGGGCAAGTTCGAGAGCTTTACTGAATTTGGGAGCTGGAATGGTCGTGACCCTTGTAACCGGCGTGCGGGAAATTGAAGACGATCCGGTCGAAAGATTTGTGCTTGAGGACGGGGTGCTGGGTCATGGTATGGGCGTTCACGTCGTGCAAAATGGTGGAACCAAGTCCCTCCAGAATCTCCATGTTGGCGCTTGCTCTTTTGTACAACATCTTCGATGACGCTTTTCCAGTCAGGTCGACGTGCAAAACGAACACATGAAATCAATGAATTGGAGACCTTAAAATAGTGAGTCAACTTTAAAAAAAAGTGAACGTACTAAATGGAATGGATGGTGCATTATGTACCCTGGGAGTCTAGGGAGGTGGCGACGATGTTAACGGCAGAGCCAAATGCTTGGGCCAAGCAAGCGGCAAAGGAGAAGTCGCCCTCGCCGACGAGCAACATCCTGTGTAAATTGCTGTAATGCTTGATGCGCTTCTCTTCTTCTTCTTCACGTGCATCTCCATGGTTACGTAATAAGTTCACCCTCACCATTTATCAAATTACATCCAAATGTGATCTCTTCTTCGAAGTTGAACCACCCAGCAGTGGAATGCTGATTTCATCTTGAGGGACTTGGTTGTGAAGCTCGTGCATCTATATAGCACTTTGACAACCCTCTCTCTCTCTCTCTCTCTCTCTCTCTCTCTCTCTCTCTCTCTCTCTCTCTCTCTCCATAAAAGTTGATTTCATCTTCCAAGATCATCATTTTCCAAGAACAATGGACATGATTCATGAACGACCTTTCACGTTCCTCTCGTCATCATCCTCTCAGAGACTTCGAAGTACGTACCGGAGAGGAATTAATGGAGACGATCAGATGAAAACGGACTGAAGATGAAGAGTTCTATGATTAGAGTATAAGTATTGAAATATAGCTCATAGTCAACTCTAGGAGTCGATTGTTTTATGGCATTTCTCATCATCGTCTACACAAATTGTCCATCAGTCTCCATTCCAAAGAGGTTTTTGATGAGCTCTACTATTTGCTTCAATCCTTCTTCATTCAGAAAGTAGCCAAGGAAGAAAAAACACAACAGACATTAACACCATGTACACTCACGGGTAAATTATAGAAAAATGCTCATGAACTTTGCAATTTACTTGCAAAGGACACAACCCTTTTGAGAAGCAATTTGAACTTGGAAAAAGCTCTCTTGATGATCACATGATGGTGCTAATACTCGGCGGGTTCGGAGCATGATGGACCGCCTCGTAGACCGGACATTGCGGATACGGAACATAACAGGACGGTGGTGAGTACTGCTGTACCCGTTCATGGTGCTCATGCTCATGATCATCATATGAATAATAGCCGGTTCCTCGGCGAGTGCTTCCTGCATTGCTCACTCGCACTATGGCAATGGTATGAAATTTCCTCCTAAACGATCGAGTCAGCTTGGCTGAGTCGACACCTTCTCCGATCACGACCAGCTGGTCCCTGTGTGGCCCTCTTATCGCCACGGAAATGACATTTCCGATATATTTACCACAAACGAACACCCGAAATTCTAGAAAACACATCAAATTGAAATAATATGTGACGTGTGTCCCGCTCAAATTAGCAAGTAAAGCACTGGAATGAAATCTGAAAAGATGAAAATGCTACAAAGAGATTAAGACTCAATCGCATATATTTCTTTTCATTTTTTTTCCAGAAGAATGTAAATTTTAATTACTAACCATCTGCTTCTGTAGCAATCCTCATGGCCTTTGATCTGCATTTGTCGCAGTGCATTGCCATCTGTATAATCATCTCTTGCTGTACCATGAAACAACGACATCAGTTCGGCAAATAACATTAAACTTTTCTCTTTATGTAATGATAAATAAGCTCATCACCCTCAATGTCAACTGTTTTTTTGGGCGAAATGGATGTTGGAGAAGAGGTTTGTGAACGTATCTATGAAGAAGTCGAGTGTGTCTGGTTTTGGAGAAGAAATATGATGGGACTTCATTTATACATGATGCGATCCGATGAAGATACAGCACACGCATTCTTGCAATTTCACTCCAGACATGATGCGCGCGCTCCTCCACGCGACTTAAATCATCGACATATTTCCCAGATCTGATTAGCTATTATTTTAGGGTTTAAACAGCGGTTTTAGTGACAAAGTCAATCTTATTATAATATCAGACAAATACTAAATATAACTATATATATCTCTTGGTTTGGACGTTAGTTTGGTACGTACTTGGCAGCATTTTAATCTACTGAAACATCTTGAATGTCAACTCTCTCTGTTCTATCTTCCCAAGATTTCCTCATCTAGTCTCTGTCACTGATCCAAAAGAAAAGTCTCTCTCACCTTCCCTGAAAGCTGCTTTCTATCTCTCCATTCTTTTTCTAGTCAACGCAATGCATTCAACTAAGACTCGTGCAGATTACCATACAAAGGAAACAACCGATAATTTAAAGTACTACGGTATGCAGTAGGTACACTGTAGCAATCATTTGAAGCTTTATTTATAGAACACAAACGCGGCCAATATAGAACCACTCAACCATGGATTATAACATAGCAATTACCAATCCATGAACAAGCCCAAAACACCAAAACCCTTCATCTTCTTGTAGAGATCATTGGTGGTCATTATTGATTTGGTGAAGCGCCATGAATAGGCAGGGCAAACTTGTAAGTCAAGCATTGCCGGACAGGGAAGCTCTCATCGCACTTCCTCCCTCCACCTCTCTTATTGCAATACCCTGAATAGTCCCACTATGTGTGCCGTGCCTTCTCAACCAAGCGCCAGCCTGGTTCCTCAGCCAGCTTCTCTAATTCCAACTTGTCGAACGGATGAGCCGTCTTATGGGTCACATGAACCTCACCGTCCTTCATTAGCATTGGCTAAGCGCACTTTAGAAACCCTCTCACCAGTTCCCGGTGGCACCTAAAATGTTAACACTTCATTGCACTAATTTATTTATGTGATCTACAACTTAGTATAGACCAATGTAGGTTGGTCCAAATGGTCTTGTTTGATTAACTTCATACTTGAACATAGAACATGCATGCTTTACTCAATTCGGAACTTGAATGCTCCTGACCGCAAAATTCAGCGTGTGGGAAATTGGAGATGATTCGGTCGAAAGATTTGTCTTTTTGAATTGGGCATTGGGTCATGGTATGGATGTCTACTCCATGCAGGACAGTGAACACGAACCATCCAGTTGGTCCAAATTACTGCCTGCTCTACTGAACAACATCTTCAAGCACTCTTTTCGATCAATTCATATGCAAATTAAAAAGAAAAGATTGTACAAATACAAAATTTAAGTTAAACCGGTCAAGATTATGACCGATGAATACCTTCATGTAGAAAAAGAAAAGTTTCAATAACGTGAAAAAATCTTCAATTCCGCCTGATGGAAGAGAAATATCTTGTGTGGGACAATGTCTTTCTAATAAGTTGCAACAGAGCATCTTTCTTCTAGAACATGGTTTATCGGAATATGTCAAGACAAGCACATATCAGGTACCTCTAGAGTCGAGGGACATGGCAACAGTGTCAGCAGCCGATGCAAATGCTTTCGCCAAAGGTGCTATAATGCTTGATCTTCAGAGTTGAGTCGTCAACATTCACAGAGGAAGCAGATGCCATCTTCAGCTGGGCTTGTTGCTTTGACAAGGAGATCTTTTTTTAGATAAACCATTTGACAAGGAAATTTTGTGCATACACGAGTCATTTATACCATTTCTGGTGTCATCGTTAGTTGTTAAAAGAAACCCCTCGTCTCTGAACTGATGACAGAGCACTCGGCAATGGAATTGTAGTTATGTGTCTCCGAGATTTCTTCTAGGGTTTCTAGGTCACGGTTCACTTGCCCTACAAAGCATATATGTTGGGTACAATAAGGATGAGGTTAAATTTGCAAGTTTTTGGATTTTTTGTCAGAGTTAATTTGATCAACTCGATCCGAGGCAGCTTATAATTCAAACTCGATTCGACTCAAAGAGGAAAGACTTGATATAATACTCTCGTGATAGGTGCTCGACACGAACCTCCTTGACTGTTTTATACCAAGGATATGATTTAAATTCAAATTGAGCTCAACTCCCCAAAGTTTTAAAAAATTGGTAATTACACAGAACTTGTTTTTTCTTTTCATGTCTATGAGTTGATTTTTTTTTATCATTACGTCTATAATTTCATAAACCCTTGGCGCAATGAACTATCCGATCAGTCTCACATATCTGTCTACCTTACCTGTGAAGTATAACGATAGGAAGTCAAAAATTTTGAATGGATAAGGGCAAAAACCATGAGACTTGGATAATAATCTAAATTCCAATTTACTATACGATTGATAAGAGAATTTAGTGCATGTTTTGACATTTATCTTAAATATTAATCATTAAGTGTAGATATCATGTATAAAAAGCTGGTTTCTGATGAAATGTTCAGAAAATTATGAAGTCGAAGCTAAATTAACGAAAATAAAAATTGACTATTTTTATGTTTGAAATCAAAAACAAATTATTGCAGGACTTCAAACGTTAGAAAAAAAATTAAATTATCCCCTCCCTAATTGTGGGCAAGAGTTATGTATAATCAATCTTGGACACCATTCAGCCGGCTAGTATAACAAACCCTTTTTCGCAGGAAACATTTCATGGAAACTACGTACATCTAGTTTGATTGTCGCTACATGCCTAAAAATAAAGTACTGCATTCCTAGCTAGATTGCAAAATTAAAGCGTTCTTTTAAGCACTGCTTGAGATAAACTGATTAGAACTACACCACCATATATACAAGTGATCACTTTGCTCGAGCACACTCAACAAGATCGGCTGAGCTCAAGTTAAGCAGAGCATTGGCGCAAAGCATTCCGTGATCATTTTTGCTAAACTTGTAAGTAGAGGCTTCTCCGATCGGGAAAGTACCATTACACTTTGAGCCTGAGCCTCTCCGATTGACATACCCTTCATAATCCCACACAGAGAACTGCACTTCCTCGACCAAAAACAGGCCTTGTTCCTCGGCCAGCTTCTCGATCTCCCACTTGCTGTACGGATGAGCCGTCTTGTGCGTCACATGAATCTCTCCATCATCCGTTAGCATCGTTTTCGCATTCTTCAGGAAGCCTCTCACCAGATCTTTGTGAAGCCTGAAAATCGGATTTTCCTTTTATTGCCTTCGATCTTGCTATATTTGCAATGTAGCATAGATCATTACAGACAAAAAGAAAGATCGAGGCACACGTTTGTGTGACAATATTGCTGTCAGCTTTAAATGAACGAAATGCTCGAGAGTCGGAGACTAACTTAATCTGAGAGAAGGATGGCTCAGGGCCGCAGAAGCCAGCATGAGGGAAATTGTAGACGATTCGATCGAAGGATTTGTGCTTGAGAATAGGGTGTTCGCTCATGGTATGAGCGTCCACTTCATGCAAAACGGTGCCCCCTAAGCCCTCGATCGTTTCCCAGTTGTCAATCGCTGGTGTTGTATAACTCCTCCTTAACGTAGCTAAGGTTAACAAGGAACATGAAAATTTACTAAAATGAGAACTAGGATTAAAATTGACGGACAGCCTTAGAAATTGGTAAGGATAGACGTTGAGAATATGCGCGGTCTTTTCAGCGAGCTCTGGCGTAAGTTGATGTCGATTTTCCCTACCATACAATTGACTGATGTACCAAGAGATAGCCGAGACATGTGATTTGCGCAGGTACCTCTCGAGTCGAGCGAGGTGGCGACCATGTTAACAGCAGACCCGAATCTCCTGGCCAAGCAAGCAGCGAAGGAAAAATCACCCTCGCCGACAAGCAGTATCCTGTGGAAATTGCTGTAGTGCTTGACGCGTTTCTCTCCTCCGACATGTCCATTCCCATCCAAGTTCGCCTCTGCCATCAATCCAAACCTTATGAGTTTGAAGCTAAATCACTACAGTTTCCATCGATCCTGTGTCCTGATGCGTGCATGCAGGTGGGTATATATAGCATTTCGAGTGTCTTGAATACCAGAGGTCACTGCTGTAACCAGAACAGTAAGTGCAAGTACTGGGATCAATGGAAAAAGCAGTTATGTCTCCTAGTTTTATTCTTCCAAAAAAGTTAGGGTTTGAAAGCTTCATTTACCGAGAAGCTTGATACATCCATGCATGAACGACCTTTCATGTCCTCGGGATCTTGAGAAGAGTGATGGCAAGAGGACTGACTAACATTACCTTGACGACCCCCAGACTAATATAAGCGACGGATTTTCGTTTAAAACAAAAAGATGTTTACATCACAGTCTAAGCTCAAATTGAGCTCGCCTTGAAATCTAAAAAGTTCAGTGATAACATTTTTTTTGGGGGTTTTGTAACAAAATGGGGATTAGCCCTAGCCTTACAAAATCTTTGTTCACGGGGAGGGGCACGCGTACCTATCTGATCTCCTTGTAATGGAATTGAACCATGAAGAGGGGCACGCGTACCTATCTGGATTAGCCCTAGCCTTACAAAATCTTTGTTCACGGGGAGGGGCACGCGTACCTATCTGATCTCCTTGTAATGGAATTGAACCATGAAGAGGATGTAAGATCTTATAAATGCCATGTAGTGATCTGTTTTGTATGATCAAATGGAATGCATTGGAAGAATGGAATGGATAAAGAACGGCAAAAGAACACTACAAGTACCATAAGTTGTATACGGCGCTCACTTTGGTGCCATAAGTTTTTTTTGGATTACTTCAGTGCTAAAATTTTTGAAAAACGATCACTTAAGTGCTAAAATTTTTGAAAAACGATCACTTAAGTGCCAACTCCGGCGCCGTACACAATTTTTCGCCGGAAATCCGACGTGGCATTTTTTTTATTAATTTTTGAAGCTGATGTGGCTCGCCGGAGATTGGCACTTAAGTGATCGTTTTTAAAAAATTTTAGCACTTAAATGATCATTTTTCAAAAATTTTAGCACTTAAGTGATCCAAAAAAAACTTTTGGCACTTAGGCTCCGTTCGTTTGGCGCAAAATATTCTCCCGGAAAATATTTTCCGGGTTTTCCGGTGTTCGGGGGGCGGAAAACGTTTTCCGTGGGAAAATATTTTCCTTCCCCCCTCACAAAATAGCCTAAGTCTACGGAAAATGACTTCCGCTTCTTCAAAAGCGGAAATTATTTTCCGGAGCTTCTTCTTCTTCTTCTTCACTAAGGTCGCCGGCCGCCGCCGCCGGTCGCCGGCCGCCGCCGCCTGTCACGCCCCGCACTCCTCGGCGCGCCACATCCCTCGCAAAGGTCGATTCGTGTGCGACGTCCCAGGACGCGTCGCCGACCCAACACCCAACACAGAGATTTAAAGCACATGCGGAAGTAATTAAAACCACCCGTACATTAAAATACACCTAACCAAGGATAGCCATACAACAACCAGCACGGATAAATATACACTTGTTTTGACATTGGGAAACATATACAATATTCATATACAGCCCACCCTCAAAAGTCAAAAGCGGGTACGTGGCTCGGCGATCAAACACTATATCTAGCCGGGGCTCCTCCCAAAACATTTCAATACGCCTGGCATCCTCAAGGCTGGGGGTCTGAAAAATTGGGTTTCAACAACAGTGAGAATAAATCTCAGCGAGTAATTCCCTAAACCTAAATTAGGCTAAAGTGCACCTCCTGACGAGTACTAAATCAACACACCAAGCAAATCATAATTGACTTAGGCCCTCGGGCCCAAATCCAACACTCACCTTGCCCTGCAGGTTAGGCACTTACAGTTCAAGCATAAAACATAGGACCCAGTCGCAGCACATGTACACATCATTTGGTCACAACGCATGTCATGCTTATGCTCGTGCTCATACGCGTGCTCACGCCTCATCAATGCATTTTCGCACGCTTGCACTCTAGCATACTTGCCATTTATCAATTTCTCCTCCGACCCGCGTTAAACGCATCAGGTCCGACCCGCGTAAAACGCATCAGGTCTATCACTATCCAACACTTCCTGGCCCGCGTAAACGCATCAGGCCCAGTGTCTCTAGCCCGCGTAAACGCATCAGGCGCAACACCGATCTCCATATACGGACCGAACCCGCGTAAACGCATCAGGTTGGCCGTCTTCCGGCAATCCGGGCATCGTCCCGCGTTAAACGCCTCAGGACGGGTTCACTACCCCGCGTAAAACGCATCAGGGTTTATTGTGATCACACATTCACAAGCACCAATTTTCATCTGAACCCCGCGTTAAACGCATCAGGGCATTTTAGGTGATCACAATGCACATGTCACTCGAGCACACTTGTAAATGCACATGCCGTGCCAATGCTCGTGATGCAAACTCATGGCCATAAACTTCACACTCGGGCATGCACTTGCACCGCACCACTTACTCAAATCATGATGCAATCATGCGCATTTGCACCACGCATATTCAATTTCATAAATCAACATGCCCAATCAGACAATCAATTCAAATCAGCCATGGCATCAACTTGACACACAATCCATGCACAATCCACACAACCGGGATAACAAGAACCCTCGCATTCGAGGCCCGCCAAGCTATTCCATTCTTAGTCCCGCTAAACAAGCAACATGGCATCCTAAAATCAATCACAACAAGGCTCATTTAGCTAGTCAATTGATCAATGCGATCATTCCCGGTAATTGCACAATTAAACTTCAAATTGATCACGCCTCGCCTAAATCAAATCCTGTCGTGGCCAGCCACTATACCGCAATGTCTAGGCCAATAAATATCTTCAAAATGCCCCATTAAACTCCCCAAACCATCATTCTAATCAGCCACCACAAAGATCAAATGAGGCGCGCACTAAAATCCATATTTAAACCCCGAACTTACTCCAAACTTGGACCACTCCGAACCAATCTGTCCAGCCATCTCACAGCACCTCGCGGGTCACTAAATCTCAACTAAATTGTCGCACTAAGCCCGTAAAATAGCCACCAAGACAGCCACCATTCGGTCTCCCAATTTCACCCGCTAAATCCACAATTCCGTCCAAATCACGGCACCTATGCCTCGCCACATCACAGCACACTATAGTCCACTAAACTTCAATTAAATCATCATTCTCGGTCACCAAACGGGCCACAAAAATCAGCCCATAGCGGCCTCCACTCGGTCCTCAATTTGCACCCGCCAAATTCACATTTTCGCCCAAATTAAGGCGCCTATGCCCAGCCGACTCACAGCACAATACGGGCCTCTAAATCTCAATTAAATCATCACACTAAGCCTCGAAATCAGCCACCATATCAGCCTCTAACAACCTCCACAATTTAACCCCTAAAATACCCTAATTAACCCCTAAAACCCATCTAGAAATGCAAATTGTCCTAATTAGGGCTTAGGGTCAAACTCACCGGATGTCCTAAGCTTCAAACCGAGCTGAACACGTGGTAATGGCGGCTGGACAGCGGCGGTCCCTCGCCGGAACAGTAACGGCGGCGGCGGCTCCGGCGAACGGCGCGAGCGACGGCGACGGTCTAAGCTAATCCACGGCCTAGAGAGGGAGAGAGAGGGGCGCGGTCAGAGATAGAGAGAGAAATGGAACGGCTGGACGGCCGGGCGAGGCGACGGATCCGCGCCGGAACAGTGACGGCGGCGGCGGAGCTCCTCCGGCTCAAGGCCTCTCACGGCCAAACCGAGAGAGAGAGAGAAAGGGGAGGAAGGGGGCTTGCCGGTTGTTTGTGGTGGAACACGGCGGCGACCGGGCAAGCACGGAGGCGGCGACGGCGACAAGCGGGGGCGCCGGCGAGCCGGCGAACAGCGGCGGCCGGGCGCGAAAGGCAAGAGCGGCGGAGCTCGCCTGCTGCGCGTGAGAGAGGAGAAGGCGAGAGTCGGCGGCGGCGGCGGCGGACGGCGCGGCGTGGCGGTCGAGCTGGCCGGCGACGGCGAAGCACGCGGCGGTCCGGCGAGCCCAGGCGGTCGGCGAGCTGGGCAAAGGTGAAGCAGACCCAGTCGGCCGGCGAGCTGGGCAAAGGTGAAGCAGACCCAATCGGCCGGGAGGAGGAGAGAGAGGGGGCTTCTATGGTGGCGGCGACAGGGTGCCGCAACGGTCGGGCGACGCGGTGGCGACGAGCGGCAGTGGCGCAGCGGGACGGCGTCGGGCGGAGCGGAGTCCAGGCACGCGACTCGTCGGGGAGGAAGAAGACCGAAGCGAGAAAATAAGAAAGGAAGAAGAAAGAGAAGAAGAAGGAAGAAGAAGAGAGAGAGGAGAGAGGGTGTCAGAGGAGGGGGGAGAATGGGCGTGAGTGGACTTCTGCAGGGGGGTTGCGTGCGGCAGAGAGGAGAGAAGAGAGAGAGAGAGAGAGAGAGAGAGAGAGAGAGAAAGAGTGAGAGGGAACGTGCGCGGTCAGAAGGGGGGGAGCGTGTACGCGAAGGAGAGAGGGAGAGGGAGAGAGAGAGAGGAGAGAAATAAAAGAAAACAAACTTCATTCAAATATTAAATGCGATCTGATGGCCCAAATTAAAAACCGAAAATGTTCTACCGATCCAAAATAAGCCTCGCACATAAAAAGGGACAAAGGCCAAATTAATTAGACCAAATTATAACGAGGGAGGCCTACTAGTCCAAATTCGCACGTGGTCAAAAACTCCCATTTTTCCATCATTCCTGACAATCTCAATGTTGGCTACCATAATATTGACACCGTCCAATTTATTTTGTCCCGAAACTCCCGGAAATCGACTGCCAAGTTCGGGGTCCAAATAACGGCCAAATTTGATCGAGTGCGATTCTAGCGAAATCTCTAATTTAAAATGATAACCGGGAGTGATCAGTTCCCGGGCGAGATTTTACTATAAGCACACTGACAAATTACGTGTTTTATAAATCCCAAAAATGGGCCGAAATTCGGGATGTCACAACTCTTCCCCCCTTACAAAAATTTCGTCCTCGAAATTTACAATCCAACCCAGTTATCCAAACAAATGGGGGTACTGGTGTCGCATCAGCTCCTCACTTTCCCACGTCGCACTTGCAATCCTATTGTGTTTCCAAATTACCTTGGCTATTGAAATTTCTTGTTTCACAACACTCTCTCTATTCTATCTTCGATCCTAACTGCCTTTTCCACGTACGACACCCTGTCGTCCACGTCCATTACTTCATGATTCA